TCCTGGCCCGCTGGGGTGTGCGTCGCATTAATGCCCAGCGACTTGGCCAGCGATGCAGCCTTCAAGGGATGACTGTCGCCCAATTTCTGCCAGCGAACTCCCTCGCCGAGTGGCCTTGCGCGTGCCCTCCCACACGAAGCAGTCGCGTCATCGCGCGCGTCATCTGCGATGACACGTGCGATGACATGCTCGAGAGGGAACGCGCTAGGCGCCACCGGGGAGGAGTTTCTGGCACATGGAGGGTGACGGTCATGACTTGAGGACGGAAGCCGAACAAGGCCCTCCTCCCAGGCGGATTTGCACACCTCGGTCCGTGACCTTCTCGGTGCACGTAGTCGCCGAGGCGTCGTTCATCCATTCCTGGTGATCAGTCCAGGCCCTCGAAAACGTGTCCTTGAACCCCCTGATGATGTACAGTGCTCGCAGCGACTCCTGAGAGGATGGGGCAATGGGTTGCCCCACAGCACGTGTTGCCCCCCGCCATCTTCGTTCTCGTCACTATCCAAGCAGCCGCCCCCCGTTCCTCATCCGTCTCCATATCCTCATCCTCGCGTTCCCTCCATCCCTCCATCCCTCCCTCCCTCCTCCGCATCCGCCTCCTCCTCCTCATCATCATCCTCCTCCTCATCCTCCTCCTCCTCCTCATCCTCATTCTCCTCCTCCTCCTCCCCCCCTCCGCATCCTTCTCCTCATCCCATCCCTCGCCTCATCATTCACCTCCTGGGTCTACAGTATACCCCCACGCTCCAGGTGTCAAGGTCAGATCAGTTTTGAGCCCCCCCAGTCCGTCATGTCGTCGTATGCTATCCACGGCGGCCCCATCTGGAGCGCTTTCACGAAGTATTTCGTAGCCTCTTAGGGGGGAGTAATGATGTGGATGGGGATGGGGGTCGAGCAAGAGAAGGTTGAAGGGGCGGCGACGGAGGATGAGGGAGATGTGGTGAGCCCCAGGCACTGGAAGGACACCGAGGATGTAGACGAGGAGGATGACGAGGAGGAGGAGGAGGCGGAGGAGGAGGAGGAGGAGGAGGAGGAGGAGGAGGAGGAGGAGCAGGCTGAGGAGGAGTGCGTGAAGGAGGGTGGATATTGAAGAGAAGGCTTGCGCAAGCCTGCATCCAGCCCGCCTTGCCTCCGCCCTCCTTGTGGGCGATCCGCCCAAGGGGCAAGTAGTAGCCCATGGTGATGCGCGTCTTAGTGTAGGACACCGTGTACAGGCGCTTGTTGGCCCAGCCCGTGTACTCCTTCCTGGCCCACTCCTGGCGGAAGTCGGCGAGCGCCTGGTCGTTGCCCTTGGCGGCGCCGTAGTCTTTGGCGAGCTGCTTGCCCTCCTCGGTCTCCGCCTTCTGGCTCTTCTTCAGCGCCCGTTCGAACCTCGAGGCCAGCGCGTTCCCGCCACGGGCATTCGCGCTGAAGCAGAAGTCGTCACTGATGTACTTCTTCCAGAACTCGAGCTCCAGCTTGTCCTTGGCCGACAACTGATCGTCAGGGATGCGGGTCTTCTCGCCATCTCCGACCGTCATGGCGGACTCGTCGCTGGCCTTCCCCTTCTTGCTCGGGTCGTCAGCATGGTCGCTTGCCTCGAACGCTCCAGGAGGTGCCTTCAGGCTGGTGTCGTGAAATCCCTTGGCCTTCATGAGATCACCCTGGACTTTGGACATGAAGAGGTCGTGCATGCAATCGATGACGGCAAGCTCGTCGAGCGACCCATCCCCGCGCAGCAGCCCCTGCTGAGCTCTAGGTGGTTGATATACGCGTCACAGGGCGTGCCAGCCACACAAGGGAGGAGCAATGGAACTCGCAGCATCCACTGCTCCTCTCTCGCGTTGCTGGCCCAGCCCCTGCTCAGTGCATATACGACCCCCATCCATGCCTCGACCGTCTTCTGGGTAGTCTGGTACGTCTCCCTGGCCGCATTGACTGTGTGCACCTTCTCGGGCGTGCTGTACGCAGAAGCCACGCCGCGCCTCTCCTGGGGTTGCGGCTGCATCAATGGTGGGGCATCGTTTCCCACCCCCCCCCTTGCATACATCCCTCCATTCTGCTCATGTGGTTTGGGCTGACCTCCACCCATCTTTCGAAACGGTGGGGATTGGCTGGGTGTCATGGCTGCCCCGCTAAAGGAGACATCACACCCCCCCCCCCCCCACCCACACGCAGTTGACGCCAATCTAGCTTCCTGGGTGTGGGCGTGATCTGGGCTCGATTTAGCCCTGATATCCTTAATCGACGCGTTGCTCCGCTGCCTCTTCGGGACGTGCGACTCGTCGCGGCTCTCGGTGTCGCTCTCCGACAGGCGCTGCCTACGACGATGGCGTCTCTCACGATGACGCTTTGCGAGCTTGCTCTCAGAGGGCTCCCCGTCGCTGCTGACTATCACTGAAGGCGAACGCTGCGTTGAGGGGATCGGCGAAGGTCGGCGCCCACCAGCGGCGGCTCTCATCTTCGCATGAGCCCGACGCTCAGGCGTATCCTCTGGCTGCCGTGACTTCATGCTCCTCGGCGGCTCCGTCGAGGCATCGCGCTTCTTGCTCATGTTCGATGGCGCTGGAGATGCCATGCTCCAGGAGTGGGCGGCGGTGGGGTCACGGCCGTCCCGACTCGACGAGCGCTGGCGGCGCTTGCAGGTCTTCTCCGAAGCTGTGATGGCCGCCTGGAGCCACGTGTTCTCCATCGTCTCCGCTGCTTGATCCAGCTCCTTATGCTCCTTTGCAATCCTCCTGGACTCTTCGAATACCTGTTGCAGCTGCTCATCGTCACTGTCGACGGCGTCCCCGTTTCCGTGGCCCTCCATAATAACCTCAGGGATCGTCACGCCACCCTCACCCTTGCCCTTCTCAGCCTCCTCGGTCGCCAACTCCTTGCCATCCTCAGCATCATAGATCATCGTGCCCTCCTGGGTTGCCTCGCCCTCTGCCACTGGAAGCTCATCAGCAGCGTCTCCGATGACCTCTCCAGGAGGAGCCACAGTACGGGCATCGCCGCCAGCTGGTGGTGAGTCAGCTACCTGGATGAACGTGCGGCTTGCCTCCACGCCACGCGCGATCTCCTCACGGACACACCATGCACTTATGTTGTTCATTCGTTCTCTCGACCCAGCCCCGCCCTGAGATGTGACCGTTGGGTGGAACAAGAGAGTACGAATGAAGCATCTTGTCATGGCTTCAATGCTATAGGCTGGATTTGAAATTACGATCTGGAGTCCTGTGAGCGCTGCTGCTGCCACTCGAGGTTCATCTTCTCCAGAGCCTTCCGCTCCTCCCACAGCTTGGCCCTCGCGATGTTGGCCTCCTCAAGCTGCTTCTTGAGGCGCTCCACGAGAGCTGCGTGCTTGTGCGCATCGGGCTCATCCTCGGCGCCGTCGGTCGGGATGGTGCTGGGCGGCTGCTCTGCTGAGGACACGCCCTGTCCCGCTGGCTGACCTGTTGAACTCTCTGGCTGACCTGCTGAACTCTCTGGCTGCTCTGCCCCGTGAGCAGCTTCCTCGTCAAGTTGCGTGTCGCCACTCCCCCTAGAGGACATCGCGGCGCGAACGTCCTGCGATGGCGCTTGCTGAGTAGAGCTGCCGCTCGGCTGCGTGTCACCTGGAGTGTCTACCTGCTGGCTGCTCATCAGCAGGAGGCGCCCGATCGGCGTGGACCAAGCTCGACCTCTTGGCGGGTGGATCCAGCTGATTCCGCCCATGCGCCAAAACGGCTCGGGCCTCCATGACCACGAGGAGGAGGGGGAGAGGTGGAGGTGGGAACGAAAGCCTTGGTTTGTCGTGTGGCCCAGCGTGTTTCAGTATAGCATTGGATGCCCGTTCGTCCAGAAAACGCAGCATGAATATATTATCGTTTTGTGTGTTGGCGATGGTGGGATGCCTACTATGACATGCATTGTTTCATTTAGCATTGTCCTCGTCGCCACCGCAGGATTCGCACGAGCCCTGGTCGCCACGGCTGGATTCGTTGAGCCCAACGTTATGTCGTAAATCGCCACGGCTGGACTCGCCCACGGGAGTCGCAACGGTTTGAACCCGCTGACGTCGTCGCCACGGCTTCATTGACGCGGCTGGATTGACCGACAGAGAACGTGGATTGCACGTGAATTTCCACCGAGGACGGGGCATGCCGAATTGGAAATGGAACGAGGATGGGCGGGAACGAGAGTGATGGGCAGGAGGGGGAGGAGGCGGAGGAGGAGGAGGAGGAGGAGGAGGAGGAGAAGGAGAGGGAGGACAATGAGGAGGAGGAGGAGGAGGAGGAAAGGGCGCAGAAGGAGGAGGAGGAGGAGGATAACACATTTCAACGGCAGGCCACTGGGATCCCTGGCCATCTCCGATGGACAGCCTTACATGTCCCAGACGTCCATGGGGATGGGCGGCGGCGCAGTCTGCGCCTGCGCCCGCACCTGCGCCCGCACCTGCGCTGGCGGCTGCGCGCAAGCTGACGGCTGCACTGGGGCTGGCGACTGCACTGGGGCTGGCTGCTGCACTGGGGCTGGCGGCTGCACGGGATCTGGCGGCTGCACTGGGGCGTGCTCGATAATGTTGGTCTTGTCGATCTCGGTGCCAGCTGGCAGCGCTGCATCTGCCTCCTGCTGCTGCTGCTTCTGCTTCTTGGCCTTCTCGGGCTTCGTGTCCTCTACCTCCTGATCGCGCGCTGGCCTCTTCAGGACTGTGCTCTCCTCGGGCGACGTGTCCACTGCCTCCTGCTTACCCGCTGGCCTCTTCAGGACTGTGCTCTCCTCGGGCTGCGCCTCCTCCGCACTCGACGGCCGCTTCAGGACGCTGCCGCCGTCACCTGGCTCATCGTCGGGAACGACTTCATCGTCCTCCATCATCTCTTCCTCTTCGCCTTCCTGTGCAGCTTCATCTGCTTCGTCATCAGCGTCTTCCTCTGCCATTGCCGCTTCCTCATCCTCCTCGGGCTCAGCTTCCTCTTCCTCCTCGGGCTCCGCAGCTTTCTGCATCGCATTCTCCTCTGCGGCAGGCCTCTTGCGAACTGCAGCTGGGCGTTTGCCAACGCCGCTCGCGCTGTGGCTCGCCAGCCACCCCTTCTTTGCGATCTCCATGTCTGGCTTCGTCGTGCGCCCAGCCGCATACGCCTTGAGCTGCTCGATGAGCCACGCGACTGCAGCGCTCTCGTGCTCGGGCGCCCAGCCGCCCATCTGCATCAACTGGCCCTGCCGCTCCCTGGTCTCCGTCACGCGCAGGATGCGAGGGGCGCCCGCACGGTTGACCCAGCGCAGGCAGATCGCGCCGTGCGGGCCTTGTGCGCTGTAGAGCGCCTCGTGTGTGGCGGCCTGCTCGGCGTCGTGGTGCTCCGCTGGCGCCACTGGGACCTGGCTGCTGGAGGTGAGGGGGGGCATCGAGTCAATGAGGTGGAGGCGAGGATATGACCATAGAAGAGTGGATTAGGAAAGGAGGCAGACTTGCGAATTCAGAGGCAGAGGGGATGACGAGGGGACGAGGACAACGCGGAAGAGGAGGGGAGCAAGATAGTGATAATGATGAGGAGGAGGAGGAGGAGGAGGAGGAGGAGGAGGAGGAGGGCGAGGATAATGAGGAGGAGCTCGACAGCGGAGGAAGGATGAGAAGGTAAGGGGTATGAGATCGACATTGGAAGAGACCATGACGGCGAGGAGAGGAGGGAATAGGTAAGTGAAATAAGGTAGCTGAGGAGGAACACACCCAGGAACCTCCCACTCGAAATCGTCGAACCTCGCCACGAGGTTCTTCTTCCCAGGGGCGCGCTTGGCCACTGCGAACTGAGGCGGCTTCCTCGGCTTGTCCACGGGCACGCGCCAGGCCGACTGAAGAGGGTCCAGGAAGCCATCAACCATAGTTCCTCCTCAACCTCCTCCTCCTCCTCCTCCTCTTCCTCCACCTCCCTCCCTCCCTCCGATTCCCTCCTTCACCTCCCGTGCATGTCATTCCTCCCACCGTACTTCCCTCCTCCTCCTCCTCCTGCTCCTCATCCTCCTCTTCCTCCTCCTCCTCCTCCTCCTCCTCCCCCTCCTCCTCCTCCCCCCCTTCTCCTCCTGCTCCTCCTCCTCCGTCTCCTCCTCCTCCTCCTCTTCCTCCTCCTCCTCCTCCTCCTCCTTTCTCCTCTTCCGACTGGTTTATCGCATGGTTACTGTTGCTGTTCGGAGTTTCGTTCATAGGCCCCTGGGAGGCCCCTCGGAGGCCCGTTCAGAGGCCCGTTCAGAGGCCCGTTCACAGGCCCGTTCAGAGGCCAGTTCGGAGCAATCTCGAAAGCCCTTCGGATGCCTCGAGGGCCTCTCGAAGGCCCTTCCCTGACCGTCGCTCCCAAATTTAATATAGGATGGGCCTGGATGTCGGCACTCCAGCCGAGGTAGTAGCCGTGCAGCACAGCGATGCTCGCCTCGTCGAGCGAGCCCTTGCCGCCCATTGCCGTGCTCGCTGCCTGGCTCGACGACGGCGACGCCGCTGACATCGTTTTCGTCGCCGACGTGGACACCGTCGTCGTCGTCGTCGTCGTCGTCGTCGACGTCGACGTCGGCGTCGACGACGTCGACGGCGACACTGACGACGCCGTCGCACGATGAGGAGACATGATGAGAGGGAGAAGGATGAGAAGGAACATGCCATAGATGCCTCCGAACTCGGCCCTGCCGTCGAAGACACCTCGCCCTCGTCATAGGCGATCTCCTTCGCCGCTTTGCGGAGCACGCTGGCGTACGGGATGGCCCACTCCGGCACGGTGGTCCTCTCGGGCGGTAACCAGCGACTCGCCGTCGCCTCCCCTCAGGCGCAGTTGCGCGATTTTCCCCATTGAAGCGCCAGGGTGTCATCGCACGCGTCATCTGCGATGACGTGTGCGATGACACCCGCGATGACACACGCGTCGGCGCTAGAAACAAATCGCGGAGCCGAGCCTGAAGGGAGATTGGGGCGCGAGCGATGGTGGACAGCGGGTCAGATGAAGGGAGAGAAATGGAGGATGATGCAAGTGAGTCCTGGAAAGCGTCTTCTGGACGGCGCGCAGCATGCTCCGCAGCGACTTGGCGAGCTCCTCGCAGGTGCCGTCCAGCTCTGCTGAGAGCTTCCACCTGTCCTCGTTGTCGGTCGCAACCTGGATGAACGCCGCCTTGGGAAGGGGGGGCGAGCGAAGCGTGACATCTCGTTGATTCGGGGGTGTCGGGGAGTCAGGGAGTCGTAAGGTCGGGGACTAGAGAGTCAGGGGGTCGGGGAGTTGGGGAGTTGGGGAGTCGGTGATCCGAGTTGGGGAGTCGAGAAGTCGAGGGTCGGTGAGTCGGGGAGTCGGGAATCGACCCCCCCCGACTCCCCGACTCCCAAAAACACCAAACTCTCCGTCTCCCCGACTCCCCGACTCCCCGACCCCACATCTCTCTGAGACCCCCGACTCCCCGACCCCCCTGATCCGACTTGAGGTAGCAGTGATAGTGGTGGGAAGGAGGAGGATGAACAGGATGAGGAATGCTGAGGATGAGGTGCACTACCCTACGTTGTGATACACTTCCGATTGACGACGACGACAGCTGCTACTGCTACTGCTACCTCTACCGTTGCTGCCACTACGACTACTGCTGCTACTACTGCTGCTACTATTCCTTCTAGTGCTACAGCCTCCCATCACTACCACCACCACCTCTACGTACTTAAAACTACCTATACTACGATATCCGACTACGACCTGCTACGACTATCACTTCTGGGATTTCTACGGTTACAGAACGCTACCACCCCCGATCTCGCCTCCTCCTCCTCCTCCTCCTCCTCCTCGTCCTCTCCCTCCTCCTCCTCCTATTCTGACGTATCCTCCGCACCCTCCTCCCTCCTCATCATCTGTCCTCCTCCTGAAGTTTCTCCTCTCCCTTCTAGCCTTCGCCGCTGCCTGGGTGATGCCGCCGCGTGGGCACAGCTCCAGCAACTCGATGATCATCGCCTCGTGCTTCTGGATCTCAGCGTCGTCGACGGGCGCGTTCATCGTCGTGCTGTAGACGATCCAGTTGTCGACGTCGTCAGCCGCATATTTGTTCAGCACCATCGCGACGGCATCACAATCCTTGAAGCCTTCGCCCCGAGGAACCCCTTTCTTCGCCTCTTTGGGCGTCATGCTTGGGCCACGAGGCTTCGATAAACCTGCCTGCCTGCCTGCCTGTCTGCCTGCCTGGTGCGTGTGCGTGCGTGTGTGGTTGTTGTGCGCGTGCGTGCGTGCGCGTGTGAAAACCTTTTTTTTTTGAGCGTGTCACCTCACAGGTTCTTCTTTCGAACGCTTACGCCACTCAATATGAATACAACTATCCTCTCACATCAAGTTGTTTTATCATGTGCGCATCTTACATGAAACGTGCAGCTCTTTTGGCTCTTTTGAGTACGGGGCTATTTTTAATAGCCCCGGGCTATAATAATAGCCCCGTTGAGCAGGACAATAAAATAGCCCCTGCGGACCTCAGGGGAGCGTCAAACACGCGTGGGGGGAGCGCGCCGTCATGACTGCCAGGATTACCAGGGTTGCTACTGAAGGTCGCCCTTTCACTCTGCACTGCCAGGCATCTGCTTGGGACCCCGCTACCTCCTCGGCTGAAGGCCGAATTGTTACTCGTACTGTCGCCAGGAAGCACGGGATTAATCGGCGAATCCGAAGTGGGATTGGTCGGCATGCTGGGGACTGGATATGCCTGAGATGCTGGCTGCGCTGCACGGTAACGACCCAGGGGGCAGCTGAAGGCTGCACTTCCAGTGAAGGAATCCTCCAGATAGTCGTCAGTCGCCCTGGTCACCACGGCTGGAGCCGCCTCGAAATTCAGGTCCCCAGGTCCAGGAGCCGCCTTCGAAACTCTGGTCACCACGGCTGGAGCCGCCTCGAAATTCTGAGTTCCTGGTCCCCTGAGGCTGGTGCTGCTGCAGCTGCTTCGGCTGCTGTTGCTGCCGCTGCTGCCCTGCTGGTGCGTCTGCCCGCCGGGGGCCAGTTGGCGCAGCAGCGGCGCGGCCGCCGCGGCGCCAGCCGCGGCGGGCCCAAGCGCGGCAGCGCGGGCCACGGCGGCCGCGGCGCCGGCCCGGTGGCCCGCGGCCGCAGCGGCGGCCGCCTCCGCCACGGCCGCGGCGGCGGCGGCGGCGGCGCGGCACCGGCCGCCGAGCCGGAGCAGGCCCAGCGGCGCCCGCGGCGCCGGCGGCCGCCCGCGGAGCAGCGGCCTCGGCGGCGGCGGCGGCGCCAGCGCCGCGCCGGCGCCAGCGGCGTCGGCGGCGCCCGCGGCGCCACAGGCGGCGGCGGCGCCCGCGGAGCCGACGGCGCCGCCGGCGCAGGGGCGCCAGCGGGCGCCGGCGGCGCCCGGCGGCCGCAGAGGCGGCCGCGGTGGCCGCCGCCGCGGCCGAGGCGGGGCGCCGCGGCGGCGGCGGCCGCGGCGACCGCGGGGCGGCAGCGCCGGCGGCACAAGCCGCAGCAGAGGGGACGGCCCGCGGCGGGCCGCGCAAGCCGCGGCAGCAGCAGGGGCGGCAGGCCTCGGCGGCGGCCGCGGCGGGCCGCGCGGGCGCCCGGCCGCGGCGGCGGCCCGCGGCGGCCCCGGCCCGAGAGCCGGCAGCCGCGGAGGGAGCGGCGCAGGCGGCAGCCAAGTGCAGCGGCAGGCCAGGCGGCGGCGCCGCGGCGGCCACGGCAGCCGCGCCGGCGGCGCCAGCTCGGCGAGCGGCCGCCGCCCGCCGCAGCTGCCGCCGGCAAGCCGCGCGCGCCGACGGCGACATCAAAGCGAGGCTTGCGACGCAGAGACCCACGGCCGCGCGAGGGCTCACCGTGGGGATCGCGCGAGAGGAAAGAAAGCCTGCTGCAGGCGCGCCCGCCTCGGGCCAGCCCCTCGGCAGCAGACAAGCACGAAGCCGCAGGGCGACGGTTTCGCACTTGAGCCAGAGGGGCTACGGACGCTGGTTGGGATTTTTTTAACACCAACAAAAAAAAAGGCCGCAGGCGGAAGCGCCAGCGGCGGGAGGTCACGAACGGGCCGCGGACGCGACTAAATTACCTAACGCGCGCGGGGCCGCGGATCAGGCGGCTCGCGACAGCGTCCAGGGCGGCAGGGCCGATGCAATCCAGGAGCCAAGACAGCCCCTGAACGGGCATGCAGCGGTGCATCCAACGGGCCTGAGGTTGGCACCGAGGAGACCAAGCGCAGCCAAAATGGCGCGAGAGGCGTTCCCAAAGTCCAGGGGCGGACGAGAGGAACGTTCCCGAGGACGTCGACCCAAGCCTGACGGGTAGCACAGACGACTAAAGACGTAAGTCCAGCGGGGACCCCGACGGCAACAACGAGCCGCGACGCCAGAACGGCATCAAAGTGTGAACGTGTTGCCAAGAAACTTCCACACCGATGCTTCAGCCCAGACCCAGCGGGTGGAAGGGCGCCTGATGCACGCTACACGGTCGAAACGCGGCGTGAGCACATCACAGTGTCTCAGTGCTGTCCAGAACGAGTCGGAGAGCACACGCGAAACAAGACCGCGTATACCCAGGCAAGACCCTCAAAGCCACTGATCCAGGGTCACGGCGGAAAGCCGTCCAGCATTGAGAGTTCCCGAGGACACCGATCCAGGGAGCCTGACGGGTACCACAGACTGACTGGGGACAAAAGTCCAGCGGAAAAAGCTGACGGCGAACCGGGTCGCGACGCAAGAAAGCGCATCCAGGGTGTGGAGCATGATGACAAGAGTACCTTCCACAACTGAGATGCGACAGCCCAGATCCGACGAGTGGAAGGGCGTCGAA